CTTCCTTAAAAATCACTTAACCTATTGGATTTATTTTATGAAATTATCCTTTCATGCATCTATTCGCTCGGCCCATATGTATCCAAACTACTTTATAAAATAGACATTTTAATATACTCAGTCATATAAAGAAATGACTATCATGTTATCTTGTACTAAGAAATATAGATTTTTGGAACACATGTACAAAAGCACACAATTACGATCTGTATCTGAAAAAAATAAACAATAGGTTGCACTCAGAAGGCAGAACTGGGGATCATGTCACAGAGATGACATGTAAGTTAGATGCTGAAGGGTGAGTAGGAGTTTGCGCAGGGAACAAGGACAGGGCAAGCCCAGGCCAAGGGCAGTGCAGGGCCTGCCGCGCCCCGGGTGCTTATCCCAGCTGTAGGAAGCCGCCCCCTCCCAGACTTACTTTCTTCTGACGCATCGTCCTCTATCCCTTCACACTCTAAAGGAAAAGAAAGCTCGACACCTTGAAGCATAAGAATAAATCTTACAAAGATTGCCACTGTCATGTTGATTAGAAGTTCCATTTTAAATGGCCCCTTGTTATTACATATTATAAAGGTATCTCAGTTTATTTTTAAATCTTCAGTTATTCAATGTATGAGTTACTTTCAATTGTATGCTATCAATTAAAGTGGAAAACATTCTGGCAGTTTCTGAAAAAGACTAAACAGAGCTACCATGGGCCCTGGCAATTCCACTCCTAGATATATACCCTAAAGAAATGAAAGCGTATGTCCACACAAAAATCTTTAAACAAATGTGGAGAGCAGCCATACTCATAATGCTGGAAACAACCCAAATAGCCATCATCTGGTGAATAGAAAAATAAAATGTAATCTTCTCATATAATGGAATATTATTCAGTCATGAAAAGGAATGAAGTACTGATGCATATTACAAAATGGATGAAACTTAAAAATATTTAGCCACGGGAAAGAAGCCAGTCCAAAAAAAAAAGCACACATTATATGATTTAATTTATATGCAATATCCAAAGTAGGAGAATCTCTGGAGACAGTAGCTTAGTGATTTCCTGCGGCAGAAAGAGTTGGGGGGACATGTGGGCAACTGCTAAAAGGTAGAGAGTTTTTTTGAATGGAGGGAGTGATGAAAATATTCCAGAGTTAGACCGTGGTGATGGCTGCCCAGTTCTACAAACATACTAAAAAACACTGAGTCGTGCATTTTAAACGGGTGAATTGTGTGGTGTGTGACTTGTAGCTGTGTGGAAAGTTACTCTGGTGGACTGTAGTGTTTATTGTGACACTTAGTTGTGAAATACTTGGCAGGTCAGTCTTATTTATGGACAGTCCCTACTGTCGTAACAGTGTCTTCAGCAACAGTCCCCTTTTTTTTAATAAGGCAGAATTCATTGTAATATATTGGGAAACATCCTATTTTAAAGGTCACTAAAATTCTTTTTTTAATGACGTCAAGTGCAATTTATTCGCCAGGCAGTATTGTGTGACAATAAATAACACTGACTCGAAGTTGAACAATGTAATTCAACCAGTCTGTGGGTAATAATGTGTATTAGTAGAGATGGTCCCCATTTTATTTTATTTATTTGCAAGACAGTGAAGCCGGCCTAGATATTTAGCTCCAAAGTTGTATGACTCCATGACAAAAAGGACATGGCAAAATAATGAACCCATGTGATGAGCTCTATGACTGTTCAATTAATTGGTGTCAAAATAGTTTTCAGTATTTTTTTTAATTTCATCACTATGCTGAGCACTTGTCTTCAATAACAACAAAAAAAGATTTCATTCATGATCCTGTTACATCCTTTTCATTGCACAGATTAAAGGTTTGTAAACGTATAGAACAGAAATATTTCTATTCAGAACGTTAAGAAAATTGCTCCCGAGAAACTCTTACCGTCTCAATAGAGCAAAGACATAATTAGAGGAAACAGAGTAAAATATACTTAAAAATACTGCAGAGCAGTTACTATTTTTCGATTAGCAATTTACTCCATCTTGTGGTAAATCCCAAGAAAGAATTTTCTTTTCCTTTGATGTATCTGGCATGGCACTTCACTTAAATAATTATCATTTAACAACTAAATTTAAATAATCATCACCACAAGCACCACAGTGAAATTTACTTAGAAAATCAACATTTTGTCTAGAATACCAAGTAAAGAACATGAAAAGGAATGAGATGCAGTGCGACATTTGTCTCTTTACATAATAGTGGTGACTATGTTCCCTGATTATATTTTCCTTGATCATTTGAGTCGTAAACAGTCGTATGAAACTCTATCAAAATTAATGAGGACAAAATGCTATAACTTTCCACATTTACCTCAAAATGCATATAAAAGATGATTTCTTATATTATATTAGTTACCCTTATATGCTACTTTACTATCATTTTATAATAATGGAAAATTTTTAATTTTGAGGCCAACTGTGTATATATAGCTTTAAGATTAAAAACTTCCCTCAGAAATAGGAAAAAATATTGGCTTTGAGACCTTATACGAGTGCTAGTCATCCTGTTTTTTAAAATTTTTATTTGCTAAGTATTAATCTCAAATAGAGAAACAATGCCCTAATTCTAGGCCTACCAAATTATGCAGACACTTAGGATTTAGGATGAAACAGATTATCTCAAGATCAGTTGGAAAAGACAGCAAATTACTGTCAATTTTTTCTGTCTTAGTCCCCTTAACAGGCTTGTATTTGTCTGTTCTCTATCTATCTATCCATGTATCTCTTCATCAGATGCAGATAACTCACACAAATACAAGTATAGGTACATTCTAGCTGTATACCTTGGCTTGTATATTTCTAAATCACATAGCTGCACTTATATTTTTTATAAGT